GTGAACGTGCTCTCTCTCTCCCTCAAAATGTCTTACTTTCTGTGCTCACCCTTCTGTGAGTGATGGTCGGAGATGATGAGATGCCTACGTGATGCGGTGACGTGAGTGACTGATGTAGGCCCTGTGACGCAGCGTGGGGCTCCTACCGACCTTCTGGCGTGACATCAGAAAGAGGATCATCTGCCTCTGGACCGCGGTTGACCGCGGGTGATGGAAACTTCCAGAAGCAAGGGGACTGCTCTAGTTAAGTTGACTCTGTGAAAATGTTTTCCGATTTGGGCCCTTGAACTGTCAGCATGGAGAAATTTGGGTTGTCTGAACTGTGAATTCAGGGACTGGCCCTCGGGCAGGTGGTATTTGGCCTCGCTGCTCCTCTTCATAGAAAGTGGCCTTGTTTCTTCTTCTGTGTCCCAGGGGCTGGGCTCAGGCTACTGGGTCAGGTGCCATTTTGAGAACGTAACAGAGACGCTAAGTAAGGAAAAGGAACTAGTAGAGGAAGACGCACAGAGCCGGATGTCCTGCTGGGCTCCCCACCCATGGACCACCTGGCAGTGCGGCTTAGGCTGAAGCCTCGGAAACCCATCACATCATTCTGGGCGCAAGAACTTCTACCGCACACGGTGCTGCTACAAAACCAAATTCCATTTCAACTGAGCACAGGTTGTTCAAGAGCGTAGATGGGTCCATCAGTATACTTAATGCCACCTCAAAGAACGTGCGATCTCTCCTTACAGTACTGGTGCTTGAAATTCATCTTCAGCTGCATTAGTATATTCTTCTGAAAAAAATCCCATCTACAAATGGAGTTTGAATCAATTTATAATGATGGAGATTTGCCATTGTTTTGAACCCATTAAAACCAGAAACACGTGGAACATGAAGGTCTGATTTTATGTGACCGTGTTTGTTCCGCTCATTTTCCTTCTGTGTCTCAGAAAACTCAGCGGACGGTAGTGAGGACCACTCCCATCTGTCAGTCGAGGGTATGTTACCTAAAGGAATGAAAGATGCTCTTTCCGATTTGTTTCTGATTTTCACTTGCCTAATTTCTAAGCACCAAACAACAAATGGTCACAGCCTAAGGCAAAACACGGGTCAGTTTTGATTCAGCAGAAGCAATTATTCACTCCAAGCAGTAATGATCTGCTAGTAAAAGGCTACCGCTCTAATTCTTATAAAATTACTGACTCAGAAACTATCAGCAGGAGAAGCATTGGCTACCTAAAGAGGCAGATGTTTTCCTAAAATACATAGGAAGAGAGGAGACTGATGTCCAGAGAGGGGAAGGAAATAGCTATTTTTGAAATAGTCTGTGAAACGAATGAATGTGATCTAGAGGAAACATGAGAACCATGTGAAATGGACCATGTAAGAACTGCCAATGCTTTCATCATTTGGAGAAATAGAGTCCAGATTTTTGAGCATGTTAGTACCTGGCAATGTCTGGAGACATTTTTGGTTCTTTTTGGCTGTCACGACTGGGTGAGAGGGATTGCTTGCACCTAGTGGAGACCTGGGGACACCGCTAAACATCCACAATGAACAGGACAGAGACCCCACAACTAAGAGTGATCGGATCCCCAACGTCAAGAGCGGGGAGCCCGAGAAACCCTGAATCAACAAAGATCACCACCCAGGTGTGGGTCTCACATGTGTGGTCACTCATCAGGAGAGTAGAGTTACACTCCCAACCTCGGCTGTGTCCTGGGCTCAATGGGAAACCATCAGGCCCAGCTCCCAGTCCAGGGGCATGGGTTGCATAATGAAAATGCAGCATGACAGGGAAAATACAGATGGCTACTGGTAACTGGTGCAATGTGGGGGTGCAGCAGGGGCAGGAACCCCTGCAGAGAAAGACACAAGTCCTGGGTGATAATTGGGGGGGGGCAAGGTGGAAGCAGGGGGAATGCTTGAGATGGGGCCCCTTGAATGGGTAGGAAGCCATGGCCACCCCACAGGTCCAGAAAAGGACGCATGCCCACAGACCCTGCAAGGCACCGGGGTCATCAGGCAAAGGGGAGGACAGGAGGGCATTAGGAGCTTGGAAAGGAAGGTCAATGTTTTCTGCTGGTGGAAACAAAAACAGTGCCTCCCCCTTACTGCCCGCGGGCGATTCTGCCTCTCCACACTGCAGTAAGGTGGTTTTGTTCGAAGAGTTCCCTGTGCTCTGGTGACCGGGGAGAAATACCTGTGGTACATGACATGCAAACATTCCAGGGAGGAGAAAGCAAAGCACCCCCTTCTCAGGGTTTTGCACATAATTTATCCAAACTCTGTAAGAAGAATGCATTAGTTACTTCTCCTTTATTTTGTGGGGGCATTTTCAGAGACAATATTCCAATTTTTCGTAACCTGGTGCTATCTTTACTTCTTCTTGTGTCTCCTGTGATTTATCTCGGAAGCATTTTCTGAGGTTAAAGATCTCTCAGTAAATTGCCTTCATCAATTTCTGCCTTTTTTTTTTTTTTTTTTTCTTCGTCTCCAAGTGTTTCCCTGGCTAAGATGGCATTTCCTTCCTTCCCCTCTGATCCTTCTGGGTTCTTTATTCAGTTTTGGAAAACCCAGTGACTGAGTTTGCTGAGACCGGCCTCCACGTCTGACTCTCAAAACTGTTTAGTTAACAGGGGAACGGGCAATGAAATTGGGTAAAATAAAGTGCCTAACATCTTTTACCCACACAGCCGGTGTGAGGATCTTTTACCAGTAGTTTGCTCATTGAATTTGCTAGATTTTTTCCCCCAAGCTCTTGGCTCTGGGCTCAGATCTGCACAGGGAGCCCTACTTGCTGCTGTTTGTGTATCTGCTTTCTTCTGTGACCCAAAGTGGGATTCACATTGGAAAGACCTATGCTCCAATTAAAGTAAAGCCATCACTCTCAGAACGAGACAGAATGAAAAAGCTTTTGCACAGCAAAAGAAACAGTCCACAAAACCGAAAGAGAACCGACAGAATGGGAGAAAATATTTGCAAATGACATATCAGATAAAGGGCTAGTATCCAAAATCTATAAAGAACTTATCAAACTCAACACCCAAGGAACAAATAATCCAATCAAGAAATGGGCAGAAGACATGAACAGACATTTTTCCAAAGAAGACATCCAAATGGCCAACAGACACATGAAAAAGTGCTCAACATTGCTCGGCATCAGGGAAATCCAAATCAAAACCTCGATGAGATACCACCTCACACCCGTCAGAATGGCGAAAATTAACAAGTCAGGAAACAAAAGATGTTGGCGGGGATGCGGAGAAAGGGGAACCCTCCTACAGTGTTGGTGGGAATGCAAGCTGGTGCAACCACTCTGGAAAACAGTGTGGAGGTTCCTCAAACAGTTGAAAATAGAGCTACCCTATGATCCAGCAATTGCACTACTGGGTATTACCCCAAAGATACCAATGTAGGGACCCGAAGGGGTACGTGCACCCCGATGTTTATAGCAGCAATGTCCACAATAGCCAAACTGTGGAAAGAGCCAAGATGT